TGACAGAAGGGAGGTGAAGAGGGAGAAAGAAGAGAGGTGAAGGAAAAGAGGTATAAAGGGAGAAGGAAGAGATGTGAAAGAAAAGATGTGAAGAGAGAAAAAGAAGAAACATGAGAGAAGAGAGGTGATAAGGGAGAAAGGAGAGAGGTGAGAGAAAAGAAGTAAAGAGGGAGAAAGAAGAGATGTGAAAGAAAAGAAGTAAAGAGGGAGAAAGAAGAGATGTGAAAGAAAAGAAGTGAAGAGGGAGAAAGAAGAGATGTGAAAGAAAAGAAGTGAAGAGGGAGAAAGAAGAGATGTGAAAGAAAAGAAGTAAAGAGGGAGAAAGAAGAGATGTGAAAGAAAAGAAGTGAAGATGGAGAAAGAAGAGATGTGAAAGAAAAGAAGTAAAGAGGGAGAAAGAAGAGATGTGAAAGAAAAGAAGTAAAGAAGGAGAAAGAAGAGATGTGAAAGAAAAGGAAGTGAAGAGGGAGAAAGAAGAAAGATGAGAGAACGGAGGTGAAGAGGGAGAAAGAAGAGAGGTGAAGGAAAAGAGGTGAAAAGGAAGAAAGAAGAAAGGGGAAGGAAGAGAGATGAAAAGGGAGAAAGAGGAGAGAAAAGAGGTGAAAGAGGGAGAAGGAAGAGATGTGCAGGAAGAGAGGTGAAGAGTGAGTAAGAAGAGAGGTGAAGGAACGGAGATAAAGAGAGAGAAGAAGAAAAAAGATGAAAGAAGAGAGGTGAAAGAGGGAGAAGGAAGAGATGTGAAGAGGGAGAAAGAAAGGAAGTGAGAGAAGGGAGGTGAAGGAAGGTAGGTGAAAGGTGAGATGAGGTGAAATTGGGTTTAACGTCACGTCCAAGGTTATTGCACTGTGTGTGTGGCTGCTTGTACTAGTCCGGACTGATGCCGATTTATAGTGCTAGCCCAATGAGATACCATGCCGCAGTTTAATATGAATACCCCACTTAGACACAGTATACTGACTCCGAGCCGACCAGTCCTTGTTTAAGCCCCTTAATGCCGAGCGCCAGACAGGATAACAACAAGTACCATCTTTTAACGTCTGGTAGGTGAAAGAGGGAGGTGAGGGAGGTGTGTGTGTGTGTGTGTGAGCGGGGGGGGGGGGGGGAGGAAGGGATGTGAATGAAGAGAGGTGAAGGAAGGGAGGTGACGTTTAGAAGGAAGAGAGGGGAAGAAGGGGAAAGAAGAAGGGGAATAAAGGGAGGTGAAGGAATGGAGGTTAAGGAAGAGAGGTGGAGGAAGGTGAAGGAAATGAGGTGAAGAAAGGGAGGTGCAGGAAGAGAGGTGAAGAAGGGGAAGGAAGAGATGTGAAGGAAGGGATGTAAAGGAAGGGAGGTTAAGGAAGAGAGGTGAGGGAAGGGAGGTGAAGGAAGAGAGGTGAGGGAAGAGATGCGAAGAAGGGGAAGGAAGAGAGGGGAAGGAAGGAAGGGGAAGGAAGGGGGATGAAGGAAGAGAGGTGAAGGAAGAGAGGTTATTGAAGAGAGGTTATGGAAGAGAGGTGAAGGAAGGGAGGTGAAGGAGGGGAATGAAGAGAGATGAAGGAAAGGAAGGAAGAGAGGTGAAGGAAAGGGGTGAAGGAAGAGATGTGAAGGAAGAGAGGTGAAGGAAGAGAGGTGAAGGAAGAGAAGTGAAGGAAAAGAGGCGAAGGAAGAGAGGTGAGGGAAGAGATGCGAAGGAAGAGAGGTGAAGGAAGAGGGGTGAAGGAAGGGAGGTGAAGGAAGAGGGGTGAAGGAAGAGAGGTGAAGGAAGGGAGGTGAAGGAAGAGAGGTGAAGGAAGAGAAGTGAAGGAAAAGAGGCGAAGGAAGAGAGGTGAGGGAAGAGATGCGAAGGAAGAGAGGTGAAGGAAGAGAGGTGAAGGAAGGGAGGTGAAGAAAGAGAGGTGAAGGAAGAGAAGTGAAGGAAAAGAGGCGAAGGAAGAGAGGTGAGGGAAGAGATGCGAAGGAAGAGAGGTGAAGGAAGAGGGGTGAAGGAAGAAGGGTGAAGGAAGGAAGGTGAAGGAAGAGAGGTGAAGGAAGATAGGTGAAGGAAGGGAGGCGAAGGAAGGGAGGTGAAGGAAGAGGGGTGAAGGAAAAGAGGTGAAGGAAGAGAGGTGAAGGAAGGGAGGTGAAGGAAGGGAGGTGAAAGAGGGAGGTGAGGGAGGTGTGTGTGTGTTTGGGGGGGGGGGGGGGGGGCGTGAAGGAAGGGATGTGAATGAAGAGAGGTGAAGGAAGGAAGGGGAAGGAAGGGAGGCGAAGGAGGGGAAGGAAGAGAGGTGAAGGAAGGGAGGTGAAGGAAGGGAGGTGAAGGAAGGGAGGTGAAGAAAGGGAGGTGCAGGAAGAGAGGTGAAGAAGGGGAAGGAAGAGATGTGAAGGAAGGAGGGTGAAGGAAGAGAGGTTAAGGAAGGGAGGTGAAGGAAGAGAGGTTAAGGAAGGGAGGTGAAGGAAGGGAGGTGAAGGAAGAGAGGTTAAGGAAGGGAGGTGAAGGAAGAGAGGTTAAGGAAGGGAGGTGAAGGAAGAGAGGTTAAGGAAGGGAGGTGAAGGAAGGGAGGTGAAGGAAGGGAGGCGAAGGAAGGGAGTTGAAGGAGGGGAATGAAGAGAGGTGAAGGAAAGGAAGGAAGAGAGGTGAAGGAAGAGAGGTGAAGAAATGGAGGTGAAGGAAGAGATGTGATGGAAGGGAGGTGAAGGAAGAGTGGTGAAGGAAGAGAGGTGAAGGAAGAGGGGTGAACGAAGAGAGGTTAAGGAAGACAGGTGAAGAAAGGGAGGTGAAGAAGGGGAAGGAAGAGAGGGGAAGGAAGGAAGGGGAAGGAAGGGGGTGAAGGAAGAGAGGTGAAGGAAGAGAGGTTATGGAAGAGAGGTTATGGAAGAGAGGTGAAGGAAGGGAGGTGAAGGCAGGGAGGCGAAGGAAGGGAGTTGAAGGAGGGGAATGAAGAGAGGTGAAGGAAAGGAAGGAAGAGAGGTGAAGGAAGAGAGGTGAAGAAATGGAGGTGAAGGAAGAGATGTGATGGAAGGGAGGTGAAGGAAGAGGGGTGAAGGAAGAGAGGTGAAGGAAGAGGGGTGAAGGAAGAGAGGTGAAGGAAGAGGGGTGAAGGAAGAGATGCGAAGAAGGGGAAGGAAGAGAGGGGAAGGAAGGAATTTGGGAGGAAGGGGGGTGAAGGAAGAGACGTGAATGAAGAGAGGTTATGGAAGAGAGGTGAGGGAAGAGAGGTTAGGGAAGAGGGGTGAAGATAGGGAGGTGAAGGAAGAGAGGTGAAGGAAGGGAGTTGAAGGAATGGAGGTGAAGGAAGAGGGGTGAAGGAAGAGAGGTGAAGGGAGAGAGGTGAAGGAAGAGGGTGAAGGAAGGGAGGTGAAGAAAGAGAGGTGAAGGAAGAGAGGTGAGGGAAGAGAGGTGAAGGAAGAGAGGTGAAGGAAGAGGGGCGAAGGAAGAGATGCGAGGAAGGGGAAGGAAGAGAGGGGAAGGAAGGAATTTGGAAGGAAGGGGGGTGAAGGAAGAGAGGTGAATGAAGAGAGGTTATGGAAGAGAGGTGAGGGAAGAGAGGTGAAGGAAGAGGGGTGAAGGAAGGGAGGTGAAGGAACAGAGGTGAAGGAAGAGGGGTAAAGGAATGGAGGTGAAGGAGGGAGGTGAAGGAAGAGGGGTGAAGGGAGAGAGGTTAAGGAAGAGGGTGAAGGAAGGGAGGTGAAGGAAGAGAGGTGAAGGAAGAGAGGTGAGGGAAGAGAGGTGAAGGAAGAGAGGTGAAGGAAGAGGGGTGAAGGAAGAGATGCGAAGAAGGGGAAGGAAGAGAGGGGAAGGAAGGAATTTGGAAGGAAGGGGGGTGAAGGAAGAGAGGTGAATGAAGAGAGGTTATGGAAGAGAGGTGAGGGAAGAGAGGTGAAGGAAGAGGGGTGAAGGAAGGGAGGTGAAGGAAGAGAGGTGAAGTAAGAGGGGTGAAGGAATGGAGGTGAAGGAGGGAGGTGAAGGAAGAGAGGTGAAGGAAGGGAGTTGAAGGAAGAGAGGTGAAGGAAGAGGAGTGAAGGAAGAGAGGTGAAGGGAGAGAGGTGAAGGAAGAGGGTGAAGGAAGGGAGGTGAAGGAAGAGAGGTGAAGGAAGAGAGGTGAGGGAAGAGAGGTGAAGGAAGAGAGGTGACGTAAGGGGGATGAAGGAAGAGAGGTGAAGGATGAGAGGTGAAGGAAGAGAGGTGAAGGCAGGGAGGTGAAGGAAGAGAGGTGAAGTAGAGGAAGGAAGGGAGTTGAAGGAAGAGAGATGAAGGCAGGGAGGTGAAGTAAGAGAGGTGGAGCGGGAGTGAGATGAGAGGTGAAGGAGGGAGATGAGAGAAGGGGGTCGATCGAAGGGATGTGAAGGGGAAGAAAGAGAGGAGGTGAAAGAGGGAGAAGGAAGAGAGTTGAAGGAGGAGAGGAGTGAAGAGGGCAAAGGAAGAGAGGTGAATAAGGAGAAAGAAGCGAGGTGAAGAGGGAGGAAGAAGAGAGCTGAAGGAAGAGATAGGGAAAGGGGACAGGAAGAGTTGGGGAAAGAAAGAAGGAAGCAAGGGGTGGGGTGGGGGGGGGGGGGGTGGGGGTGGGGGGTGGGGGGGAATACTATATCATGTCCAACAAGAGAACGATACGGTCGTTCAATACAAGGCCTGGTGTGTGTCGAGGAAAGGGACACATCGATATGTTATGGGCCACACAGTCACACGCCGATTGTACTTGATATGTCAATAACACTTCCCCACCCTCCCCGACCTCCCCCACCATCCATATCTGCAACATGTCGATAGTATTAAACGCAGCACACAAAGGCTGCAAATCTCACGCTCTGAAGGCGTTGATAACGATGTCATCATAACCGATAGGAATATGTATACTAACATTATTTCAGGTTATTTCCGTTGTTTTCAATATAATCTTATACATCACTATAACGGTCATCCCACCTGTGTCCATATTTGCCAAAACCTGTTCAGCTGCAAATGAGTGCAATGTCACAGTCGATACCATCGCTCAGATGTATTGTGATAGCAGATCTGTTGTGGGCGCTGATTGCAACGCACCTTGTGTTGACAGGACGAGTATGTGGCGAGCGCGGATGAAATGGCGTGTTCTGTTTCCTTTAGGAATTACCTTTCTTGCTGGTCACATGTTCGTTACGTTTCTTCAACTTCAGTCTATCAATGAATCGGAACGTTGTGAGTGGATTTTTTTTCATTACAAAGCTACTGATTGTAGTTTTAATTATGGATTAAAATTTAGGAAGTATGAGCAATGTGCACTACAACCTTAGTACGCATATGATTCTTAAATACTAAAACTATCGTATATTCTAACATATTCAAACATAACCATCGCATTTTTTTTATCAATTTCCTTGAAAAGTAATAACCCCAAACAACAATATCATAAACAAAAATACTTTCTTAATTTATAAAGAGAATATATCTTCATACGTTTACCGAGGGCCGTCATAAAGCTGGGATATTATTAGTGCGGCGTTAAACAACAAACAAACAACGTATTTTGTCAACTGAAATATTTACATCAAAGTGTTACCTGACTGTTCTGTTTTAAATGTATAATATTTGTTAACACATACGTTTAAGTTATCCTCTATGTTTTATACACTTCACAGCACTGAAGAAAAAAAGTTCGGAACTATTCGGGACCAATCACGAGGTACGTGTTGATATAACGATTCTTGCACACAGATAATGATCATATATTATTGTTGACAATTACTGTCATTTTCCATGTCGTTGTTTTAATGACTGAGTAGGATTTTACACCGCTTTTTGTGAGTGAGTGAGCTGGTTTTAACGTCTCGTTGAACAGTATTCTGGTTATATGACGGCCTGTCAGCTTACACTACAACGCAAAAGTTGAAAATTGTAAAATTTCGAATAATCCGCGGATATTACGCGGACGTTGCAAATAATTCGCGAAAAATCAGCGGATATCCGCGGATTTCTGGGAACTAATATATTGCTTTATTGCACTAATTAGGTGTTTTATGGGACTATCACGCCGTCAACGAGTGGCGAGCCATGGCAATAGCCTCCATACAAGTACAATGTATACCATGATGCTTCACTGAATGGATTGCAGGTACATGTAATATATGATAAATACATGTAAACACCAGTTTGCAAAATATTCCTGCTATAATAATGCTAATTTAAATACTAGTATTCCTATTAACATGAATATTTTATTTATGATCAACTTGCATCGTGTCTCTAGTCTTGTGCAAATCTACATGTATGCATTTATGTACAAGCATAAACTTATGCAGTGGTTTGATAAATACCACTTTGACACCGGGTATATCACAGTTGATGTATGTACATGTACTTGGTTAAAAAACACATACCATGTGCATGTATGGAGGGACGGCCTGATTAGAGTGGCCCCGCAGTTAACGTTAAAAATAATATGAAGTGCATTACATTAAAGTGCAATGTTTTAAAATGTCGCGGAGTTACTGCAGAGTACCTGCGAAACTGATTGCCCCTTTTATGGGACACATTAGTTTTATGACCCGGCACAAGCGAGGTGTTGGAAGGTTGTCCTCCCAGATCGCCTAATTTCTCTCAGTGTCTCTCAGTGTCTCTTGTTCAATTAGCATTAGATAAGGTTGAGAATTAATTGTGTTTGTTTCAATACATCTTAGACTGGTGAGCCATCTGCAACAATACAACATCTGTAACAATTAATCACAAACCGTCAATCCCCCACCCATGGCCCCGACAGCTGAATGTCCTCCTATTTTTCACAAATTAAAAACTACCAGCGGCGGTACAGGAGCATATAATCAATGTCATACAATACAGAACAAGAGTTTGCCACTAACGTGGCTATATCCCCCGCCCCTGTTCTAACTTGGTGCAGTGATCTTGGATATCCATGTAATGGCACCCACTCAAGCGGACGATATAGCAATTGTTAGTCCAGTATCAGCAAATCTGCAGAAGATGGTGACCATCTGTGAAAGATATAGTTCAGATTGGCGGTTTACTTTCTCTCCTTCCAAGAGCCAGATTGTCAGATATAGTGACAGAAAAGCAGCTGCTTCTAGTGTTGTACTTTATGGACGTGATATCCCAGTGACGAATGAGTTTAAGCACGTTGGTATTAAATTGAACTCTGAATTTAACTCATGGGAGAGAACTCTGGAGAGCTGTTCGAAGATGATAGCATCAGCCATGGCACTCGTCAAATCGGGACTGCATGAACGCGCTCTAAACCCCATGACAAGCTCAAAACTTATTAAGGCAGTTTGTATTCCAAAGGCTATGTTTGGGTGTGAACTCTGGTCGATGATTCCCAAGGCAGAAATTCTGGCTTTAGAAAGAGCACAGAGGTCCATTCTCAAAATGGCACAGGGACTTCGACGTCATACTAGGTCTGACATAGGTAATGCTCTTCTCGGCTGGCTCCCCATCATTTATCAACATCAGGAAGCGATTCTTTCTTGGCCATCTCTGTAACTGTTCTAATCATCTGCTTTCTAAGAAGGTTTTTATGACTCGTATCATCATGTATATGCATAAGTGTTCATCCACAAGTATGGGCTTTGTCCCGGACATATGTCGCATCCTCCACAAGTACTCAATGTACTGTCATCTGGAGGCATTTCTTAGTTCCGGTACATTCCTGGAACGGAATATATGGAAAAGAACAGTCAAAGAAGCCGTGAATACTTTTGAAGTACGAGCATGGCGGGAAAGACTTTCATCAGACCCTGACACTGTGCACTTTAAGAGTATTCATCCGAATGTGACCCCACACGTGGCGTGGAGGATAGCTAGAGAGTATCCTGAGCTAAAGGCAGCTGCCTGTTTTGTTGTCCACATGTGTGCGATGTGGAGACCGGGGAAATTACATGGTACCTGTACACATTGTGGTATTAACCACCATGACTTACTGACTCACGTACTGTGCCACTGTGTGAGTAAGGAAACAATAAGAGAGAACTTATGGTGTGACATTGTGTGTATAGGTCCCGTTGACATCGGGGTGAACTCCACAGCAAATCAGACTATGATCTTGTAGCTTGTTTGTTGTCCTGTAAGCCACCTTTGGATACTGATCCAGATACCTGTCGCTCTTACTCACGAAGTGTAATTCGAGGACTCTACCGTTTTCAATATATGGACGGAAGTTACTAAGAAAATCCGTTACCACAGTGGTATATGGTGGTATTCTCTGACAATGTAATTAGTGTCATGTAATTATGTTTAATATTATACCTTGTAACTCTCCTAATAAAAGTAAAAGGAATAAAAGTATATATATATATCTGCAACAATACAACATCGGTAACAATCAATCACAAACCGTCAATCCCCCACCCATGGCCCCGACAGCTGAATGTCCTCCTATTTTTCACAAATTAAAAACTACCAGCGGCGGTACAGGAGCATATAATCAATGTCATACAATACAGAACAAGAGTTTGCCACTAACGTGGCTATATCCCCCGCCCCTGTTGCAGAATTTATGACATCTAAACAAAACCCTAACCTTTTTTAACCGAGGTTGAACTTGTCATGGAAATTGTAAAAAAGAGAAGAGTTTGGAAACTAAGTCCATCTTGTTGCCATGGAAACGTACAGCACGGGACCTGTGACACAACTGGTAGAACAACAGGGCGAGACATTTTCCTTTTATATCTGTGTATATCATTCTCTTCATTTGAGAAAGGCAAAATTTACTGATCTCTCTATCTCAGTGGTTTAAGATTCTTTACTCATGTGCAAGCTATACAACGCTGATATTCCCACTTAAGAGCAGTGTTGGTTTAAGGCTTAATCAGCTATGACTTCCCCGTTGCTCAACGTTGGCCTACTCCGGGAGAGCGCATGGATTAGTGATCACACAGATAAGGCAAGCTGGGCTCACTAGTAATTAGACAATGTGGGTATTAATTGGTTTAGGAAATTAGGCGATCTGGGTATACTCCGCTGGAAGACAAGCTAGACATCTACACCCCACATGATTACCACTATTCACATTCTAATTTTATTCATAATACCACTTGAAACTTTACAATGACTTCATATGTTAAGTAAGATAAACTGAAAGAGAACAATTGATAATGCATTATACAAATAAGGAATGTGTCTGTCATCTTGCATATTTAGATTAGAATGTGCTCATTCGAATTAGGAACGAGGGTAATTGATTACTGAATAATTATGTATTATGGATTATACAGTAAGAGTTTTATATACATGGTGGGGTCCAGACAATTCCCCAAAATAGACAATTCCAAATACTACTGCGTATAATATTAGAGAAGATTACCAAATGGTTGAATGCAAGTAAAATGCAAGAGAAAACAGGAACTATTCAATTTCGCGTTAAAGTCAACCTTATCTTAAAATGAAAGGAATTGATATAAATGAATTTGGGTATAATATTTCAGTCAGATTACTATGGTATTCTCATATTGACGATATAGTTAACAAGTTAAGCCCTATGATAAATAAAAAGCGTCGTGTGAGAAAGCCCTGATGGAATGATGATTTGCGTGTGTTGTGGAATGACATGTTTTGGTCAGTGATAATTAGTGTCTCATAGGCCTGTATGGTCGGATATTGCTTGCATATTTTATGCTTTTATGTCTGTTTCATCGTGTATAGCGATATGTGACACTTAAATAAACTACTACTTCTTCTTCTTTATTCTACGTCAAAGAAGATCAGAACCCGTGTATAATTACAACATCCTCAGGATAACAATTACAACGAAGTGTGCAAATAAACACACATGACCAACATTATTATTTCAAGTTCATGCATGTAAATATAGGTATATTAATATATGTATACTATGCACCAGTATGTTTATATTTATGTATGTGTGTTTTTGCGTTTTTGTGTATTTGTGTGTGACCTGTATATTCGCATCATAATATTTGCAACAGTAGGTACACTTAATCTAAATTTATCATTTCATGTACAGTTTACTCTTATTAATTATTATATGTCCTTTTAAGGGAGAGGTGTTTATTATAACCTGTTCACCAATCCCATTCCGTTTTTAAAAAAATAAATATTGTTAAAAATCATATGTATCTTTTTTCAGTTTGTTTTCAAACGCGGGCGAATTGATGCATGCGTACTTGGGAGAAAAAGATGAATTACAATTCCAAATATCCCCAAAATTGGCCTGGCGGGCACGTGTGCGAAATACGCATAAAGTCGGAAAGCAGCTCTCTCTCTCTCTCTCTCTCTCTCTCTCTCTCTCTCTCTCTCTCTCTCTCTCTCTCTCTCTCTCTCTCTCCCTATTTCTCTCTCTCTCTCCATCTCTCAAAGTCGAAGAATTGCAGATAGCTATAAAACGACTAAAACGCAACAAAACAGCAGGTATTGTTTTATTGACAACGTAACGTAACGTGTTCCTTAACCGTGTTACCTTGTTTTATCGTCGGGTGTAATTCCTGAAGCATGGCAACAAAGGATTTATAAGACGAGACGAAAAGGTGATGCCCTCGATCCAAATTCATATAGACCCATTACAATTCTGAGCTGCTTTGGCAAACGTTTTACAAGTATTTCAAACAATCGACCTGATAAATTCTTAGAGTGTAATACTATCCTTAACCCATCTCAAGCAGGTTTTAGAATACATTTATAAACCCTCGATAATATATGTATATAATTGTATTCCTT